ATTTGCCTCTAACTTTTTTTTTTCAACAGCATTCCGCAAAATGATGTGCAGATCTTTTGTAGGTTTTGTTATTAACTACAACTTTTGTTAACAAATCAATTCCGTATCTCTTATGCATGACGAACCAGAGCGAACAGAAGCCACTACTGTTTTTCAGTGAAAATACATTCATTGAAAAACAGTAACAAGTTCTGCCCGCTCTACTTCGTTATGAATAAGAGATATAGATTTGAGCTATGAGCAAAAGTTTTAGCTAATAACAAAACCTATAAAAGCTCTATACATAATTTTGCGGAATGCTGTTGATGAAAAAAATTAGCGGCAAATGAATGTAAATGAATGTATGAAATGATTGCAAATGATTGTCCATGCCTGATCGTTGGAAGCGATAAATAATGTTTAAGAAAATTATCAGAGGTTGCAGACCTGATGGAACCTGATTTTCCAAGAAAACATCCCTAATATGTGAAAAGTATAGATTGGATTCCCTCAGTCTACTCAGTACTACCATAGAGGTAACTCTAAGACCAGAAAGTCCCGAAGAAACGTGCTCAACTTTATGGCTCAGCTCTGGTACTCTATTCGGTCCCAAGCTAATCGATGCAGGAAAATCCACGAACCCCTCTTTTTATCTGTCAAACTTTCATAGCGAATCAAAACAAACATAGTGTAGTACTAGAATTTCGACTGGAATTTGCTTGCGTTAATCATCGTTTGCTGGAATTTGCTTGCGTTAATCAATTTTCTTGGGACCAATAGGCTAGTCAAGTAGTGAGCCAATTTAAAATCGTTAGTTTCCACGGCTGGTACTTTCTTTTTTTTCTGACTGCTCTGGAAGCTCTTTCCAACCTATCCAAAAAAGTTTCCATCAGCAACCAAATTTAATTTAATTTATTGATAGCTGTTCAGAGAGTTAATTTCCCGGGAATGTTATATAAGGGAAATTGATGTAATGTCGGCCTAAATGCCCCTAATTTGGGCCCATACATAAATTCAGCAATCGACTGAATTTTCAATAGCGACCAAAAATATCCATTAGTACCGTTCAACTAGACAACATTGATAAATAGCATATTTTTAGCGATTAGAGCCATTTCCCCATATAGCATGCTTTTTTAACTGTTTCTAAATTGAAATAGCTTCCAAAGAATTGGGAAACATGATTTTTGGTGATATTTGCGGAAATGGATTCCCATGACGCCAATACTGGTATTTCAATAAAAAATATTTATGTTTTTAATTGTGTAATTTTACAAAACCTTCCCTCCCATCTAGACAGAAATCCGGGTTGTAAAATTTATATGCACTTTTCATTTTATTTTTTTTTCCTGAAATTTGTCCTTCTGGACCGCTGTGCATTGAAGGGGTCTCAGAAATATCTTACGTAAGCATGAATAAATCATATATAGCCTATTGAAGTATAAGATCTAACAAATAGAGCCAAACAGCTACACAGCTCAGCCAGTAAGAACTTTCAAGAGAAAGCATCATGGAAAATTATGGATATACCTTCATCAGTTGTCTTGCCTATTTGATATACATTTTACATCGAAGAAGCGTCACACATATTACTGTGCAGCATATAAGGGCCAAGATGATTCAGAAATCATCGGTTCTCCTTCTTTTTTATTCTTTCCTTTATTTAACGTCGATCTCTGTTCCGCAATCTAGAGCCAACCACCGACAGACATCGATTGCCATCCATTGACGGCACACTAGCGGTGGTATAGTGGTAAGCGTGAAAACCTCTCACCCCAGCAGGCCTGGGTTCAATCCCAGTCATAGCATAGTTTGAAGTTTTCAGGACTAGGGTTTGGGGATAAATCTTATACCAGTAACGCACCACGAAAAGGTGATCTACCAGCGTTACTGATTCAAAAAGATGAAAATAGACAAAGAGGAACGAACTCACCAAGTTTAGCCATCTGAACCTAAAGGCAGCTTGACATGCGTTGATGTAGAAGTCCAAATTGTCGACGGTCTGCTTGACGAAGACCAACCTGAACTAGTTGGATTTGTGGTAGAGCTTGTACGGAATGTCTTCCCTCGACATGAGATGAAAGATGTTCGGTTGTAGTCGATCTTTGATTTGCATTGGGTAGCCAATAGCGAGGTTCATGATGAGACGTCTAGGGCCCCATGGAGGTTCTATTTGGCTTCAAAACAGCTTGTCAATGGAAAATAACAGGGACGTAGAACTAGATAGAATGAGATGCAGTTCTAGTAGGACTTCTTCTGTTTTAGTTAACTCGCTGAGGAGCTGGAAAGCATATCCTGGGTCTGGTTTTGATCATATCAGTAGTTGACGGCACCGTCGAAAAATTGTCTCTTCTAGAAAAGATTGACAGTTTCTCATGGGATTTTTCGGTGGAGTGAAAGGGTAGTACGAAGTACGCCATGTTTCACGCACAGTCTGACGTTTGCTTATGGATTTTACAGAGTCGTCGTCAACACCAATTGTAGAAAATCAAACAACACCAATAAAAAACGTCCCGTTCGATCACACGCACAACCTACTCTCTACCAAAAAGGAAGGAGGATTTTGTTAAATATTACTAAGGCTGTGTTCCATTTGGTGAATTTTAACTCAAATTTGACACTTTGAAAATAAATTAATATGTTCGGCAATCCCTCTGTTGGTGATCGCCCGATTTTCGAAAAGATGTTTGTCAAAATTGATTCCTTGTCTGTCAGAAATAATTGTGGTAGAATAGCAGGTTTATTCAAGGGGTAATCAACTTTGCATACCTCAATCTGTGCCGATAGTTTTAGCTGTGCCGAGCGCTATGCCGAAGCGTACCAATACTACCAATCAAGTATCCCATGAGTTTGGCAACCCGGAAGATTTTATGACTTTTGTGATTGTTTATTTGTGATCGTGCAAGAAAACAAAGAGTGATGTACACAGCCTAAAATCACTGCTGTAGCACGGAAATTTCACCAGAATTAGCAAACCAAACCAAATCTGTTCCAAGAAGCTCAGCTTGTAGCTCTGGTGCATGCCGGTTCCTTAGCTATACTCCGTCGGATGGATTCCGGCAAGCTGGATGTGGTTCTTCATCCGTGGCGTTGATTATAGAAAAGTACGACAGCGATAACAACTGCGAGGTGGAGGTGGAACTGTTCAATCGGCTGCAAGCGGAGGTTATCGGGGATTTTGAAAAAAAAATCGATTTCCTCGAGAAGGTCCTAAACGGTTAAGGATCGGGTTTAGGTTGTGAAATGTATTCAGGTATACCTCGATATAACGTAATTGTCGCTTTTGACTTCCGTCACTGATTTCTAGTAAACAATCACCAAATCAAGGAAAGTAATAACACCATCAATGTACAATTCTCCATCTATTGGTCATGCCAATTTGAATAATTGAATTCTTATTTGTGAGATATCGACGATGGAAGTCAAAAGTAACAGTTGCGTTATATTGAGGTATACCTATATTGTTAAATTTATATAATATAAAACAATGTTAAAATAAAGCCTATCTAATATGCCGAAGACTGCAGAATAGAGTATCATAATATTTATTGAATGAATCCTGATTAGTTAAACAGGGTTAGCTACCGGTGGAGATTGCTCTCCCAAGGAGGATGATTTGTATGACGCTATGTATCTGGCCACCGTGCCTGTGGAATTGTCCCATGTAAACCGTGATTACCGATATTGTCGCTACCGGAAACTTCAAGAAACTGTTGCAATCACGTTGGATGCAATAGTGGATGACCCTGAGGGTGACCTAGTTATTGCTGTTGCTGGTTATGATCTCGACGCTGCCATTTATCATCACATTTTAACAACTCTTGTAGGAAATTAGACAAAGTACTGGCTGCAGGAGAAATTCGAGCAAAGTCCTATAGGTTTGACTTCTATTCCGGAATCTGATCGTCTAGTCCGATGGATTTATTAAATTCACCCTGAAGCGAAGATCAGTGACTGTGCGAAACCTTAGCAACTATTGGAAAATCGACAGCTATAAACAGTGATGCCATTTTATATTATATTCTGTGTCATTCTTGTCAATTTGTGCTCTAACAAGCCGATCAGTGTGCCGTGATGTGTTTAGGCACAGTGTGCCGAGTTGATTACCCCTTGGGTTTATTTGAACATTTTCCATCTGTCAATCTTAAGAGAAAAGTCACCAAATGGAACACAGCCTAAGTGTTACAATCGCGGTAAACTGCTTACGTAATAATTGCATGACCCCAAAAGGATCGATCGTTTTCTTTAAAAAAAAAAAAGAGAATCTGCAATGAAAATTGCACCGCCAATTTGGGTGCAGCATAAAGAGGAACCCAAAAATGTTCAAAACCAGTCATAAATTAATTTCGCTACGGTTGCGCTTTTGCACTGTTTTTATCTTTTCATTCCAAAAAAAATCTCTTTCGCTCTTTACTATCATTCATGTTCCCCGCTCTACAACTTGCTCCCCAACAGGTTTCAACATAGCCATAGGCTTGTAGATCATCTCCGCTCAGTTTATTTTTTTTTTAGTTTTGCATCATCATTTAAGTTTGTCATCATCATCGTCTTCGTCGTCGTTGCTTGATCGTCAGCACTTTAGAGCTTCACTATCACCGTTCAATTCCCAGTAAATTCTTTGTTAGGACGCACTTTCATCACCGAGCGCCTCCATCCAGCTCCCGCCGCTCACACGTGCGGTTGAACGATCACCCCTTCGGCTTCCTACTGATATCCAAACAAAACCAACCAACCCGACCCGGCTTTATATCTGATTGTTTGTTGTTGCTGTTGTTGGTGGTTTGCCTGATGATGGTGTTTGGTGGTATTGGTGAGCGCACATCTGGCAGTCGGTAGAAAGAGAATCATACACACAGCGCAGCCCCCATCATCCCCCAACCAGCAGCATCGACCGCCACCCCTCGTCAACCCCTGGCGGGGTTTGGAGGAAAACCAGCTGAGAGAGAGAGAGAGAGAAAAACAATCTGCACCCGCAGCAGCAGAGTGCACCGAATCGACCGACGGATGGTCAATCAGTCTGAGAGCAGTTCGCCAGACGGTTAGACCGAAAAACTGTCCTCGTAGTCGTTTTTTTTTCGGGCCAACAGACGAACGGGATCCGGACTCTTGTTCTTTGCTCCGACGACGGTCGTCGTGTGTGCGTGTGAGCAAAAGCAAATGTCAAAATTCAGTCATCCGCAAACCTATGGTTACCAAAATTCGGAGGAACCATCTTGTTGGTGATCTTCTGCCAAGGGGGATCGGCAAGTGAGTGAGAAGATCGAGTCGCGTCGAATAATAACCCCCATTTTCGGTTTATTCGCCTTGCTACTGCTACTGATGATGATGGTAGATAAACAGCAGTCAGCAACTGCCTAGATGCAATCGGAAGAAAGTGACCAAGTGGAAGATTTTGCACACTGCAAACTCTCGTCCGAACAGACGATGACCTTTCTTCGATTGTGCTGGACATTATTGGATCGTCAGTCGACACTGATGCGTGGAATTTAACTCCTATCAAATTTGAAGGTGAAATATCGTGCTTGGAAAAGCTAGTGTAGGAAAAAAATCTGTATTTAGGTTAAAAATAGAAAAAATTGTGTATGTTCCCCTTGAGCTAGATGGGGGTAAACCAACCGACCAAATGATATTCCCAAATCGGATCCAATCAACGTAGTGTTTTTAGTGAAAAATTCAATTGTGCCCCGTCGGAGCTTAAGTGGAAAAAAAATCCTCATCTAGCAAAAAATGAAATCTTCATAGAAATCGATCCCGGGTTCTCTGGGGCGGCTGATATTCCCTGTCTGTAGGGGTGTGTGTATGTGTGTACAATTCGAAGTCCTACAGCAAGGATTTGGGGTGGAAAATTGTGGCCTGCAAATCGTCGAGTTTTCACAGAGAGTGAGAGTGAGAACGAACTCGTCCTTTTCTCGTATCTGACAGCGAGAAAGAGAGTGGAAGAGCGAAAGTGCAAACATAAACATAACCAACACAAAGCATCCGCTTGACATAAACATAAACATTAGGCACCATCTCGGCTGAGTGCACGCGTCCTCAACTGTGGATTTGTTGGTATAGGATCAGGCCACCGTGGGAAGCGAGTCCTCATCGTCATCATCGGCAACGTCATCTTCGCGGGGGAACAGAATGTAAGTGACATTGCCATCTGTTTTAAACTTTGTTTTTGTCATTCTCTCGAAATTAGAACGGGTTTTGCCAGACTACAAACGAATTGAGAAGAATGGGTCAATTTAGGCAAATTGGGCGATAACAGGCTGGAAGTAAATTGACGAACGATTCAATCGGAATGAGTGCCTTTCGAGTGCAATTATTGTGAGTCATTCAGGGAAGGGTGCTCGCATATTTTGCAGTGGAACGACATTTTGATTGGAAGGGGAGAGTTTCCGCTGGTTATGAATAGTTGAAATTTTTATCGTTTTTGATTTCCACAAAATGCGTCATACCATCTCCATATACATATTTGTTTACTGATCACCACATAGATACAATTATGAATTTTAATCGTCCCGTAAAAAATCCTTTGTGTTATTTAGAGCCAAGCAAAGCATGAACTCAATGTCCCTTTTGTTACGCGATACACGATCATACTATAGCCTATTACAAAATATTGATTATAAACACATCTTAAAACTTTTATAGATATCAAGTTTAACACTTCGCCTGTTCAAAAATAAACTTACGCTGTCTGTACTCTTGGGTCAATTTTAGCATTAGCATTAGCATAGAACAAGTTGCACAATATCATAGGTGGTACGAATTCAAAACTATTAAGAGCAAGACGGATATCTATTACTGGACAGATAGTAAGTAGGAAATAATTACTCTCTCCCAGATAAAGACATATCCCGCTCCAACATTTAAGGATTGTCCTGATCACGTCCTTACAACTGGTAGGGATAGGAAAGGTATGTTAGTTCAACAATTACTTAAAAGAGATGCAGAGAACTCTACGGCCCCTCATAAATGTCTGGGACTTCAGAAATTATGTTAGTAGGGAAGGTAAGCCATATGATACAACCAGTCAGTGTTACTGGCAAATGTAGTTCAAATTGGTAGATAATCAATTTTTTATAAAATTGAATCCAAGTTTCTTATTTGCACCCAGGGTTGCTTCCACTCGCTTCGCGCTCACGAACCATAAAATCGCTGATTTTGACACTCTGCAAGCGAAATTGACAAGTTTTATGTGTCAAACCTTTTCTTGTAACTTACAAAATATCATCCAATACAAAATATTATCCAACATCCAATAATTCCATAATTATAAAAACAACCCTGTTTGCACCAAGTTTTTGAAATGTTAGTATATAAAACGTGTTTAAAGACTAGAAATACTCAGAGGAAGAGATCAGCAGATAGAATTTTTTGAATCAAATGAACTGTCAAAATCTTAGTGAAACGAACATTCTTACTATAAATATTCAGAGAATTTCTATTTATTTCTATTTCAAATTAATTAATTGATCTTTGGTAGTTAATTAATGGCCCTAAGAATTGTGCAAAACATTACGATGCACTAAATTATTTATTTAAGTGTGCATGTAGTTCTTGATATATATTTATTATGTTTTTAAGTATTCGGTACATTACGGTACATTTTTAAATTAATGTAAAATGAATAAATCACAGAACATAATCAAAAAATGTCCATACCTATGTATACTGTCTCAGAGTTGGAGTCGGAGTCGGCAGATATATTTTTGAGAAGTCGGAATATTTTTCACTGATACCCGCAGCCCTGCAAACATCCTTGAGATGTTCCCTAAGTCTTTTTGAGGTTTTCTAAACTACAACTCCCTGTGCTTCTCTAACTTCCAAATAATTTCTCTGAAGTTCACTGATTTTCTTTGAAATTCAGGAAATTTATCTAAAAGTTACCAGACTTCCTAGGAGTGCACTAAACTTTTTTAAAGCTGTCTGAACTTCTCTGAAGTTCTCAAAAAAGTTCTGAGATAATCGGTTAGCTAAAGGAAAGAAGAAAGTGTGAAGCTTTAAGAGCTTCGAAGCTGTTTGACGAACTACAGATTGGTTGAGTGAGCTCCAAAGATCTTAATTGTGCGTATGAGTCGATCTGCAAACATAATTGCTAAGTAGACTTCGGAAAGATCGAGAGAGCATTGAAGACGAGTTGCAAACATTGACAATCGACCTTCTCACTCTCCCTAATATTTTTGATGAATGTCCTTCTAAAATGTGTGCGTGATGTTTGCTGGAGCTGATCAATGATGCCAGAATGCAGAATGTTTTTTAATATCTTAATTTGAATTTAAAATCGGAGTTTCTACCGCATTTTACCACCATCTACATAATTTCTGCTCAACACAATAAAAACAACCATAAATAAACAACAGTATCCATCACTTAAAAAACGCAGTGTACTTCATTTTTCAAATTTACATTCGCAAATATAAGCATAGCATAGCATAAACCAGGTTGCACAATGTCATTGGTGGTACGAGCTCCAAACAGTTGTTAAGAAGGAGACCCACCTTCATCCGTTGCTGTTAGATAGTAATTTGTGATTAATTACTATCTCTTAGATAAAGGATGTGTCTCCCTCCAACATACCAGAGCTGTGCTGGCCACGTCCTTGCATCTGGTGGGGAAAGGGGAGGAATGTTAGTCCGACACTTGCTTAAGAGAGATGCAAAGAACTCTACGACCCCTCATAAGTGTCACGGGAAGGGTGGGTAATTTGAAATTTTTCACTTGATGCACTTTTCAACATCATTTTTGTACTTTCAAATTAACACTTTTTAAAAATGAAATTGTAAATTTGTAACATTCTCTCTAGAACGCAAACGATGCAGCAAAACAAAAACACGTCCGCCTCAATCAAGAGAATGTTGTTCTTTTCGTCTGTACCCTGGGGTCAATAGGGGTCAACTATTTCAAATTGCCGTATCGTAGCAAAATTTCAATGGATTTTTGAAATTTCAAATGTTTTGCAAAGTAAATTTAGTGGACTTCAAGTAAAAATGTTCAAACTTTTTTTTTTGTGATGGATTGTTCGTGAGGAGGGACGTTGCAAAAGTCTACACATGAAGTGGGATATTTCGATGTTAGAGAGGTTTATATCCCGAGATCCTAACCGGATAGGCTGCTGCTCCTTTGACAAATATGTTCAGGAGTACATACGGTATGCGTGATAATGTTTACACCATCGTACAAATAAGGTTCCCGTTTCACCTGTGCATACAATGCCTTGGTTTTCTTTGCATGCACGTAACCTATTGCTCATACCGTAGTAGGCTGTGTATAAAAGAAAATGATTAACTTAGTTTGACAGTTGCACCATGACGAAGTGGGAGTGGGAGTGGGAGTGTCCCGGTGGACCGTCAAAAGGGTTTTAGACCGAGAAAAGAAAGGACAACTATCCGCGAAGGTGGCCACAGGTCGTCCGAGGTCAGCTCGGGTTCCGAGGGTTATCGCTGCTATCAAAAGGAAGATTCGGGTGAATCCAGTGCGTTCAATAAGGAAAATGGTAAAGGCACACGGGATCAGTGACTTTACGGTACGGAAGATCGTAAAGGAAGATTGCGGGGTGAAGTTGAGGGCACGGAAAAAAAACTCACATGATTACCAACCGCATCCGGGAACTACGAGTCGAACGATGCAAGAAATTCTTGAACTTCCTTAAGTGAAAAAATCCCGTATCAAATTCCAGAACCGACCGGTATATTAGTTCTCTTCCGGTAAAAGACGTGGCCGACGAGCACAAGAACGTGTATCTGACCAAGCATCCTGTTAGCGTTATGATGATTGGATTGGTGGCTTCCGATGGCAAAAAAAATGGACCCGGTGATCATTCCAGAAGGCGACAAGGTCAACACGGAGGTCCACATCGGGATTTTAAGTAAGTATGTTCTTCCGTGGATCAACGGTCCGAAGCCAAATGTTGAATTTCAACAAGATGGGGCTCCGTGCCACACCTCGAACTGCACTCAGAAGTGGTTGCAGGAACATCTTCCGTTCTGGGCGAAGGATATGTGGCCGCCATCAAGCCCCGATCTTAATCCGCTGGATTACTCAATATGGCGCGTCATGAAGGCCAAGGCCTGTTCTAAACGCCACCCGAGTACAGCAAGTCTCAGACAAACATTGACCCGTACCTGGAGAGAAATGGATCCAGACTACATTATTAGAACCTGCCGTGCATTCCGGAAGCGTGTGGAGGCCGTAATTGTAGCAAGTGGAAACTCGATCGATGATAAACATAGTTTGCGACTCTGAGAAACATTCCCCTTTTGAATAAATAAAAAAAAAACTCGAAAACGAAATTTTTGAGATTTTTTTTTTTTTATTTTGACATTGCTCAATGGTGCAAACATTATGACGTATACGGTAGTCTTCAAAAATATGAATACCCAAGTAACAATTTTGGTTTTATGAGGGTTCACTAGACCATGATTTAGGCTTTAAGGCTATAAAACCTATATAAAACCTGCAATGTTATTTGGGTAGTGTATTACTTAATGTACACACTAGTGGCGCCAATACGAAAATAATCAAGCTACGCTATTTTTTATTTATTTATTTCGTCAAGCTAGTGTAGACTACATACAATGGTTATGTCGCTTGTACCAATCAACTAGTTGAACAAAAGTTTGTTTCTTTGAAAAACTCAAACAGCTGGTACAATTTGGATCTTTTGCGTCTTAAACGGAACAGGGACAAATGGTACAAAAAGTTTTGTAGATCAAATAATGACAATCATTGGACTAGGTACACAATCGCGCGTAATAAGTATTCATAATCGAAAAAGGAAGATTGATCAGCATCAAAACAACAGCAAAGAGTTATGGAAAATTTTGAAATCTTTATTAAAACCTAGTAATGGCAAACCGCGGTCCATTACTTTTAATGGCACATTAGAACAGTCAGAACAAGTAATTGCAGCTAAGTTTAATGATTATTTTGTAGACAGTGTTTCATTGATTAATCAATCCATTGAATTGGTCGATGAACCTGACGAAATAAAACAGCCAGTTAATAGTAGTTGTAGATTTGAAGTTTTTCACCCAATCACATTAGATGAACTTAGAGTTATTTGTTTTTTCATTAGGAAAATCGGCTGGAGTAGATAATGTTAATGCTAGAGGTATTCAAGCTTGCTTTCATGTCATTG